TTGAAGGGGTAAATGTGGATGAAAAAAAAACTCAGTGACCAAATGTGTACAAATCGAAAAATATATTACCCTTTTAAGTTATTATCCCTTATAAGTCATTAGATTAGGATGGTGTTTGGCTGTTCGTTTAAAAATGATTTTAATTTATGAAAAAGTATTTGAGTAAAAAAAAAGACATTTTAAAATAATTTTTTGTTTGGTCTTTAAAAAGGAGATTTTAACAAGTCATAATTTCTAACTTTATGAAACAATTTATGACTTATTAGGTTTACATAATAGATAAAATACAAAATTAAGCTAAACACGTTTTAACTTATTGATTTATTGACTTTTGCAATTATAAAAACTAATTCATAAGTATATTTAAAAAAAAAAAAACTCTTTTTCCCATTTTGATAAGTCAATAAATCATTTTGGGTAAAAATCATTTTTAACATTAAAATGAAATCCCAAACAACCTCTAGATAACTTCATCTTACTATTACATAAATGTTTTTTACATAAAAAGTTTGTATGTTTTCTTCTATGAGTTTGGGTTGTACAAGTCTTGTTGCATTGATTTTAATTTTTTAAATAAACTAAGATTTTATTAAATTTGTAAATATACTTTTGAGATTTTTATAAATTTCCATCGAAATTATTAGCGTTTACAACTTAACAAACATTCAAACAACTGGCTACACAAACTGTCTCATACCAAAAAAAAGGCTAAATAAAAACACTTAAAAACAGCCATAAATCTTATTTCAGGAAAGTCCATCGAGGCAAACTGTTATTACTTTATCAAATAACAAAAATGTAGCTGAATCAGGCTCCATATTTTGGGGCCTTCCATAGTTTAAAAGCAACTTCATGAACAAATCTATCAGCTGGTATTGTCAAGTTTCCACCATTCTGCATCAATATTTAAAACATCAATATACCAACTTATGTCACAAAAATATCCAACAATATAATCAATTATATGGAATTTATAAAGTAAAATATTCAATTTAAGTTGTCTACCTCTTTAAAATCCTGAAAAGAGAAGGTTTTCACCAAATCCTTCCTAGTAACAGCCTCTTGCCATTGAGCCATCAACATCGGGCAATAGTCCCTGTTGAAAAAACAATTTCAAGTTGGTACAGTTCCATTGACATCAGTGTCAGTGTCAGTCTCAGTCTCAATACAATACACATCAAACACAGTACAACTTATTATGTTCTGTTCTGTCATGATATTTTTTTACTATAATTGCGTGTTTACCTTACATTAGTCCTCGGATTGCTACCTTTCATTGTGTAACTTTGACGAGGGAACAATGAAGCTAAATCCGACTTCATGGTTCCATTTTTGTTTAAAATGGTAAAATTACACTCATCATCATCTTTTTCAGTATCCCCATAGCTTAACACAACAGACAAGTGAATCCGAGAACCTATCTCAGATTTAGGTTTTGCTTTGGATATTATCTCACCAATCAAAGAGTTGATATATTCCGTGTATTTTTTATTTGATTGTTCTTCATGACCACCTCCAACATGTACAAAAACTAAATCAAACTGATTTGTATCCAAAACTTTATCATCTTCAAATCCAAGCAGCTTCAACAATTCCGTAGCAACAAGATTGACTGAGGAATCAAAGAGGGAACAACTTTTGGTAATTAACTCATCTGACTGCAAAACTGAAAGCCCAAGTTTGTCTCCACATGCTTTCAATGTTGTATTTTCGGTAATTAAAGCTGCTCTAACTCCCAAGAACCTAAATTCATCAAAACACATTGTTTATATTTTTATTATTTAATAATCATACTCATAGCAGTTGAATTCTTGAAATATTTCATTATTGAGTTCATATAGAAGTGGTATTGTAAATCTATAATATTACCTCTCTGATATAGGTGGGGTTATGCACTTGTCTTGAGACTCTACACTCTGGAAAGATGATAAACATTGATTCAAGTCATTCTTTCATATTATTATCATCTGCTTAAAACGTATTTTGATCAGATAAAATGTTACCAAAGTGGAGTAATCTTCATATGCATCCACTAGATTCAGAAATTCTCCTACAGTTCGACCATCCACATTTTCTGCAAATTCATGTCCAGGTAAATGAGGAAATACACAGAAAACAGGAAGGGGGAAAGAAGATAAATATATAAGAAATGCCACCATGATTGATTAGTGAAATACAATCCATAATTTTCCACTTTCTGATCCAAAAACACGTTTCCCTTACAAACCCCTAGAGCTCTGATAGCAATTACAAATTGCAATCAAAGTTTGAAGATCCCCCAAAAATGTTACGTGATTCCAAGGGCATAACGCCAAAATCTATGCAAACTACGGGAAGCATAATAAGATAGCGGAAGGAGTTATGATAATAGAGAACCTGGTGGAGGAAAGTGAGGGAGTGATAAGAAGCCACATAACGACTGAGCTGCTAATGAATGGAGATGGATATGAGAAGGGTTGACGAATCGAGTCAATCCGTCACCGTATAACACCAATCCTCTGCTGGGTTTGTCAGCCATTTGCTATACTACTATTGAATTCTGAAGGCCAAAAGGGGCTGCGTTGGTTCTCAGAGGTGGATTCAAAAAGCAGGGATTGTGTATCTGCTTATTTTAGAAACGGAATAAATTCCTCCACTAAAGATAAAGATGTAGCTATTCCCTGAAGATCATCAAGCACAATCGGAATCGAAGAGGCCAAATTTATACCAAGTTGGGCTATAGATTCGTCCTTGGAGAAATTATAAGGGTTTATTGGGGTGTTCGGGTGTGCCTTTGATCATGTGACGTGAAATCAGAGATCCTCCTCAGTGTAACAAGGTTGCAGACTTCCAGAATATATACAACATGATGTTCGGTTGTGTTCCTTTTCAAGTAATAAACATGTAAAATTTTAAGAGGATACTATAAAAATTGGTAAGAGGATATAGTAAGGAAAAAAAACATAGAAACATCGTAAACAAGAATTTGTATTAAAAAAAAAACATTAATATGTAAGTGGACCTTGAGAAAAAAGTTGTACAAAAATTGTAAATATATATATAAAAGAAGTTGTAGAAAAGTTGTAGAAAATTTTAAAAAGTTATAAAAATGATAAATTTGTAAGGAAAATTACTTTTCTAAACATTTAAAAACAACGTTGTGAAAAAAGTTCAATTTTGTGAAAAAAACAAATCATAACAAAATTAAAACTTGTACTAAAACTTGTACTAAAATAATATCTATTATAAATATTATGGTAGCTCAAGAAAACCAATTCAAGACAAACTAACAATTGATGAATAAAATGTGTAAGATGACGTTTGGAATACATAAATAGTTTGTTTCCCGAAAATAATACTTCTTTTGTCTCAAAATTGTTGTCCACGGACAAAAAATACGCAGATTAAGAAAACATTAATTACCATTAGATTTATTAAATGAAATGACAATTGTACCATTTTGTTGCATTTAATTTCCTGATAGTTGCATTTAATTTCATTGTAGTTTAATCAATAATAAAGAGTATTTTGGTAAAAATGATATTTATTTTTAAAATAGACTATTATTTTGGGTCAAACCAAAAAGGAAACATAGACTATTAATATGGGAGGGAGATGGTACTAAACAGTTTCGAAAATGATTATTATGTCTAAAATTAGGTATTTTTGATTAACTCTATGCCTCATCAAAGTATATTTAGTTATTTACCGAACAAAAGGTATATTTTGGATTGTGAACTATGGATTTCGGACCTGTGGAGTACAAGTTTCGGATTATAGACAACTTTTTTGCAAATAAAATCATTCGGGACAACAAATTTTCAACACTTAAGAATAATGGTGATGTATTCTTGTTCAAATGGCTCAAACTCCCAAATTTATGAGCACGAATGAAGAACAAGATTGTGGGTATTTTTATCAGTATGCAAACTCCCAAAATCACCATCTTATATTTCCCACGGGTGCAAAAACTGTAACAACCAGTTATTTCAAGTCAATAAAAATCAAAGAAAGTCAATAAAAGTCAAACAAGTCAAAGCAAGTCAACTACGTCAAACAAAAGTCAAATAATTAAAATTGTTTGATTTAAAAATGAAAATTTATATTGCTATATGTGTTCTCGGTTTTGGGAATCAAATTCCAAGTGTGAACCGAAATCGCCTTTTGGTGATTCCATGCGAGACCGAAAACCCTTGCAAGACCGCACTCCTTCGGACCGAAAACACTTCTCGGTGGGGATTTTAGACTGAAATCAACATGGTTTTCGGTTGCTTTTTGGACCGAAATCATGGTTCTCGGTTGAATGGATAGGCCGAAAACTCCAATTCTAAGCGGTGGCACACTAATCTAGATGATAAGTTACACATCCCAAGGTAAGTGTCACGTCAATATTATCCCATATATATATATATATATATATATATATATATATATATATATATATATATATATATATATGACCGAAATCTCTTCCTCATTTCTCACATTTCACTTCGAAATTCTTCAAGTTTACTCTCAAAACTCATAAAAGAACCTTCACATCTTCATATAATTGCCCAGTGGCCTTCATATCTTCATAATCCCTCAAGAGCATCTTCAAACATTCATCCAAAATTCCCAGAATACTAAGTTCATTCCAAGGATATATTGTAAGTATCCTTACATCATTTAGTGTTGTTTAACACTTTAAATTGTTAATTCACTAATTTATAAACAATACCGTGTATAAATATTATTAGGATACGACTATTTACACGAGTTCTAACACGAGGATCATCACTACCACATCGTACCCAACCAAGAACACACACTTGAGGTGAGTTCATACCCCTACGTTTTCAAGATTTTTCCATGTTTTATGGGGTGGGGGGAATACAAGTAAAACGCAAAGAGTCTTATTGTAGCACCCGATTCCTGGTACGTATTTAAATTCAAGAAAATGTTGCAATTTACTCTGGGACTCAGCGAGTTGGAGGCCCAACTCGTCGAGTAGACTTGACTTTTGATCGAGGTTTAAGTGACCTACTCGACGAGTCGGAAGACCGACTCGACGAGTAGGTGCTGTTTGGACAAAACCCTAATATTTAGGGTTTGCACCCTATTTAAACAACTTAACTCGTCCCAAACCAGCCTCCATCGCCCCTCTCACTTCCAAAAAACCCTAACTCGAAACCTTAGCCCTTATTTGTGTGTTCTTGAGCCTTTTGGTGCCTTTTGTGTGTGTGTTTGAAGTTGAAGGAAGAAGTGGAAGCTTGGGAGTTCTTGAAGAAGCAAGTGGATCCAGAGATTTTGCTCCATTTCTAGTTCATTCAAGGTAAAAATCTTGAACCTTGACTTATCATTTGATAGATCTCCTTTAAGACTTGGATCTTGCCATTTTTGGGACATTTCTAAGCCACCTTTGGGTTTGGCTCATATTGTGTAGTGTTAGCTTCAGATCTGGAACCGTTGAGGGTTCCCATGGCATAAAGGTGCCAACTTTATGGCCATGGGAAGCCCATGCATCTTATAAACCCCTTTTTATAGCCTTTTGAGCCAAAAACCCCATGCATGGACATCAAGTTCGTAACTTTACGTATAAAAGGGACCCTAGGAGGTCAGATCTATGATTTGGATGCATTAAGACCCAGTATAATCGACTGTATAGTCTTGGACAAAGAGGGACTCGGCGAGTCACTTGGGTGACTCGGCGAGTCGGGACCCTTTTTTTCCCCAAAACGTCTTCTGGGAATGGTGTTGGTTGAGTAGAAGGAACACTCAGCCTGCTAAGGGTTTGTCATGGACCTGGAAATCATAGGACTCGGCGAGTGTATGAACAGACTCGGCGAGTCCAAGGCAATCTCCCAACTTATGAAGACGGACTCAGCGAGTTCAATGGGAACTCGGCGAGTCATAGACTGAACGTCTTCTTATGGATAAAGATGAACTCGGAGGGTTCAAGAACGAACTCGGCGAGTCAGGTGAGTAGGAACGGGGTTATGGCATTTTGTGGATATGGGGACTCGACGAGTTGGCGGGCCAACTCGGCGAGTC